TGCCTCTTGTGCCAGCGGCGTATCTGGAGTGTATTTTTTGCCTGTGACGTATGTTTTGGCTGTGACGTATTTTTGTCTGTGACGTATTTTTGGGCTGTGACAGTCCTTTCTTTGTGATCGTGGGTGTTTTGCGGGCTTGTGATGGGGTGTGTGAACCAACAGTCTGTAGAGTTTTCCATCTGGTGTGGGTGAGTGATATATTATGCATTGATTTTCGTCACAGGTACCTTGAGGGCAGTGGTTGGTGGTCCCCACCACCTCAGAGGGCTATCAGTTAACGGGCAGTTTTTGATGCTTAATATGTATGTATATATTTGTATAGAATATATATATGTATATTTATGTATGTATATCGTCAAACAGAGCTGCCTACGGTAAACCGTAGGCAGAGAGGGAGAAGAGAGGACAACAAAAGAGGGGCTGTGACAAACTGTTTCGTCGGAGTTCACCAACTGAGTCATCAATCAGTAGAGGCTGAACCCTCAACAGTCTGCAGAATCCCCTAACCTGATGATTACACTGTAAGTGATAATCCACCTTAACATATGTATACATAGTATATATGTATATATGTTAGAGAAAGGACAAGGGAAGAGGAAGGCGTATTAGTCAAACAAACTAAATGACACATCCCATTTTTTATGTAATTTTCCCCGTTGTTGGGGTATTTTGTTTTGCTGTGGTAATCTTGTTTGTCTGCATCCCGGTTGGTTTTGTCCCGTTATTCGGTCTATTTTGCAGCAGGTAGCGGTGCTTCATGCGGGACCAGTCATCGGGGGCCTTTTTTTATTATTATTATTGTCTTGGCATCCTGGTTGGTTGTTCCTGTTGTTCGGCCTTTTGATCGCGGGGCGGTGGTTGTATGTGGGAATCGTCATCCGGGACCGGTTCTTATTGGTACTGTTTTTGATTTCTTTGCAGACAAGAATGTTTTGACATCCTGGTTGGTCTTGTCCCGTCGTTTGGCCTGTGTGTGTGTTGGGGCGGTGCTTGCATGTGGGACTTGTCATCTGGGATCTGTTTTGTTGCCCCCCCTGTTCTGTTTTATTTGGCTGTTCCCTTCCTCTCTTCTTTGCCTCTTTGCCTTTTGGCTGTGTGCAAGTGGGTAGATATGACACACGGGGGTCGGGGCAGCCGCCGCTCAACCTACATCCACGTGGGCGGCCTTGTACGCAAGAGGTTCTGAACAGGGGGGAGTTGTAAGGAAGAAGATTAAATAACGATTTCATTTTTTCTTGTTTTCCTTGTTTTCTTTCTGTTTTTCGCTTTGGCGCTCTGATATCATGTGACAATATATGTATATATATGTATGATGCGATTCCATTTGATTTGTAGTAGATGGGAAAAAAACCGGCCCGGATCTTATCTTCACTGGCGATGTGTTTGATAGGGGAGTGGAAAGAAAGGTACAAGGGGCGTCTTTGCTTTGGATGGATGTCTGAGTGGTTGAAGGTATCAGTCTTGAAAACTGACATATCACAAAATATCGGGGTTCGAATCCCTCTCCATCCGTTCATGTATGTTAATTTACGGATAATGAATTCAGTATTGAAAATGATTATCGAGGAAGCTCGAATTCGTTTTTTGTGGATTTTTATTTGTTTTGTTTTCACTTTATTGACTTGTTATTGTTTCTCAGAAGAATTTGTTTTTTTATATTAGCTAAACTTTTTCTAATATATGGATATATATGTGTGAACCGACAGTCTGTAGAGTTTTCCATCTGGTGTGGGTGAGTGATAGTCAACTTTGATTTTGGTTAAGGTAGATTATCATTTACAGTGTAATCAGTGAGGGGATTCTGCAGACTGTTGAGGGTTCAGCCTCCTGATGAGTCGGTGAAACTCCGACGAAACAGTTTGTCACAGCCCCTTGTTTGTTGTCCTCTTCTCTCTCTCTGCCTACGGTTTTACCGGGCAGTTCTGTTTGTGACGGAACTGCCCGGTAAACCGTAGGCAGAGAGAGAGAAGAGGACAACAAACGATATATGTATATGTATTTGTGACGATATATATATGTATATGTATATATGTATATACAGGGTTACCGGCGTTCGGGCCGAACGCCCGAACGTACGGGACCCCTTCGGGAGGCGTTCGGCCGTTCGGGCAGAACACGGACCCCAAAAAAAAAAAAGAAAAAAAAAAA